CACACACACACACACACACACACACACACACACACACACACACACACACACACACACACACACTCTTGAGTAAACATACTCATACTCATGCACTCAGTAATGTTTTGGAATCGTGTTGATGATGGAGAAGCTCAGTCCAGCACTGGCATCTCCAGATCAGCTAAATATCCGTGATTTCTGTTGTTGATTACGTTCTCATACTTACAACAGACAGATGTCAGAGATACACAAACAGCACAACACAGTCAGAGGGTGTGGCCTGTGGGTTTTCAGCCACTCAGAAACAACTGTCAATCAACACTGAACTGAATCAATACTAACCTGAATCAACACTAAACTGATTAAAGCTCAACTGAATCAACACTGAACTGAACCAATTCAACATTGAACTGAATTCAATTCATCTTTATTTCTACGGCGCTTTTACAATGTAGATTGTGTCAAAACAATCAAAACTAAACTGAGTCAACAATGAACTGAATCACTACTGAACTGATTCAACACTAAACTGTATTAACACTAAACTGAATCCTTACTGAATGGTTTCAACACTGAAGTGAATCATCACTGAAGTGAATATCAACAATGAACTGATTCAACACTGAACTGATTCATCACTGAACTGATTCAACACTAAAGTGAATCATCACTGAAGTGTATATCAACAATGAAATGATTCAACACTGAACTGATTAAACAATGAACTGAATAAACACTGTACTGATTCAACACAGAACGGATTTAACACTGAACTGATTCAACACTGAACTGATTCAACACTGAACTGATTCAACACTGAACTGATTCATCACTGAACTGATTCAACACTAAAGTGAATCATCACTGAAGTGAATATCAACAGTGAACTGATTCAACACTGAACTGATTAAACAATGAACTGAATAAACACTGTACTGATTCAACACAGAACGGATTTAACACTGAACTGATACAACACTGAACAGATTTACAGCTGAACTGAATCAACACTGAACTGATTCAACATTGAATTGAATCAACAATGAGCAGATTCAACACTGAACTGATTCAACACTGAACTGAATCAACACTGAACAGAATCAACACTGAACTGAATAATCACTAAACTGATTCAACGCTGAAAAGATTCAACAGTGAACTGGTTTAACACTGAACAGATTAAACAGTATACTGAATCAACGCCGAACTGAACTGAATCTCTGCTAAACACTAATTTCCACAGAGTTAAATTGAATCAATGCTGTATTTTGTATCTGATCTGCGGCGTCAGTAACTCACACTCACCCTGCCGACCTCCACCAGGTTGGTCACCATGACGATGGTTGCCGTGTTCTCCTGCCACACCATCCTCCAGAAGTCAATGACAGTCTCCTGCATCGGTCCTGAGGAGAGAAACAGCACACACACACACATGCGTGCGCGCACACACACACACACACACACACGCATGTACACAGAGTCACACACAGAGAGTCAAGAGTTAATCAACACAATTAATTCATCAAGACTCTTGAAAATGATGAAGAGTCTGGTAATGGCTTTCTCTCTCTCTCTCTCTCTCTCTCTCTCTCTCACACACACACACACACACACGCACGCACGCACGCACGCACGCACGCACGCACGCACGCACGCACGCACACACACACACACACACACACACACACACACACACACACACACCTTTAGAGTTTAGAAAGGGGTTTCTTCTACAGACCAAGATTATTTTGCTCATTTAACAGAAACTCTCGTCTTTTCACCTCATTATTTCGGGAAACAACACTGCTGGTTTATCTACAAAATGCTTCTTGATTTAAGAATCTTTAGATATTTGGTCTAAAAAAACAAGACAAAAACAAGTAAGAAAAGCATTTCTTCAGATATGATATCAGATATGAAGACGCGAGTGCAGCAGATCTGTGTGTGTGTGTGTGTGTGTGTGTGTGAAACAGTTAACGCTTCTGGAAGGCTGAAATGTCTTGAGTTTCTCCCACTCGGCTACCCACGAGTCTCTGGAGACGCTGAGAGGCAGGACATCATCACCAACAGCAGAAACGTACAGAATCTCTGAGTGTTTGCTTCTGCTCAAGCTCCATCTCCATCACACACAGATCAGCACCACCTGCAGAGCGCCACCTACTGACCAGCACAACGCAAAACCCTGTTATTGCCCACCCTGTTACAGTCAACTCTGTTACTGTCAGCTCTGTTATCATCAACTCTGTTAATGTTCAGTCCAATTCACCTTTATTTGTACAGCACTTTTACAGTGTAGATTGTGTCAGAGCAGCTTCACATAGAAGATCATAGTGAACTGAAACAGTGTAGTTCAGTATTCAGAGTTTAAGTTCAGTTCAGTTTAGCTCAGTTCAGTGTGGTTTAATAATCACTACTGAGAGTCCAAACACTGAAGAGCAAATCCATCTATGCGCAGCTCTACAGATCGCGAACCATGCAAGCCAGTGGTGACAACTCTATTACCGTCCACTCTGTTACCGTTGACTCAGTAACCATCAACTCTGTAATAGTCAACTCTGTTACCATCGACTCTGTTACTGTCAACTCTGTTACCGCCAGCTCTGTAATAGTCAACTCTGTTATAGTCAAGTCTGATATCGTCAACTGTTACCGTCGACTCTGTTATCATCAATTCTGTTACTGTCAGCTGTGTTATAGTCAACTCTGTCACCGTCAACTCTGTTATCATCAACTGTTACCGTCGACTCTGTTACCGTCAACTCTGTTACCGTCAGCTCTGTTATAGTCAACTCTGTAATAGTCAAGTCTGATATCGTCAACTGTTACCGTCGACTCTGTTATCATAAATTCTGTTACTGTCAGCTGTGTTATAGTCAACTCTGTCATCGTCAACTCTGTTATCTTCAACTCTATTATCATCAACTCTGTTATAGTCAACTCTGTTATCGTCAACTCTGTTACGTCAACTCTGTTACGTCAACTCTATTATGATAAACTCTGTTATCGTCAACTCTGTATCGTCAACTCTGTTACGTCAACTCTATTATGATCAACTCTGTTATCGTCAACTCTGTTATTGTCAAATCTGTTTCCATCAACTCTGTAATAGTCAACTCTGTTACCGTCAACTCTATTACCGCCAGCTCTGTAATAGTCAACTCTGTAATTATCAACTCTGATACCGTCAACTGTTACCGTCGACTCTGTTATCATCAATTCTGTTACTGTCAACTCTGTAAACGTGAACTCTGTTATCGTGAACTGTTACCGTCAGCTCTGTTATAGTCAACTCTGTAATGGTCAAGTCTGATATCGTCAACTGTTCCCGTCGACTCTGTTATCATAAATTCTGTTACTGTCAGCTGTGTTATAGTCAACTCTGTCATCGTCAACTCTGTTACCGTCAACTCTGTTATCGTCAACTCTGTTACGTCAACTCTATTATCATCAACTCTGTTATAGTCAACTCTGTCACTGTCAACTCTGTCACCATCAACTCTATTATCATCAACTCTGTTATCGTCAACTCTGTTATCGTCAACTCTGTTATCGTCAACTCTGTTATCGTCAACCCTGTTACGTCAACTCTATTATGATCAACTCTGTTATCGTCAACTCTGTTATCGTCGACTCTGTTACCGTCAGCTCTGTTATAGTCAATTCTGTCACCATCAACTCTATTATCATCAACTCTGTTATAGTCAACTCTGTTATTGCCAAATCTGTTACCATCAATTCTGTTACCTTCAACTCTGTTACCGTCAACTCTGTTATAGTCAACTCTGTTACCGTCAACTCTGTTATAGTCAACTCTGCTATCGTCAGCTCTGTTACCATCAACTCTATTACCTTCAACTCTGTTACCGTCAACTCTGTCATCATCAACTCTGTCACCGTCAACTCGGTTTTTGTCAACTCTCTCATCGTCAACTCTGTTACCTTCAACTCTATTACGTCAACTCTATTATCATCAATTCTGGTATAGTCAACTCTGTTACCGTCCACTCTATTACCTTCAACTCTGTTATCGTCAACTCTGTTATTGTCAAATCTGTTACCATCAACTCTGTTACCTTCAAGTCTGTTACCGTCAACCTTATTACCGCCAACTCTGTCATCATCAACTCTGTTACTGTCAATTCTATTTCCGTCAACTCTGTCATCGTCAATTCTGTTATCGTCAACTCTGTTACCGTCAACTCTATTAGTCTACTGTGTTATTGACAACTGTTACTGTAACTCTTTTATCGTTAACTTCGTTAATCAACTGTGTTAGTCAACTCTGTTACTATCAACTCTGTTATCGTCAGTTCAGTTATTTTCAGCTCAGTTATCGTAAGCTCAGTTATCATTAAAAATAAGTAAAACTATTTATAACAGAATCAAATGTTCCCCGTCGTATTTAAGCAATTTGCATTATTTTCTATCAATAACAGATTAGCTTTACTGTAAATTATACATGTGTTCTCCATCGTTCCAGTTCAAGACAAATGAATGGAAAAGGCTTGACATGTGCCCATATGAGTCATATAAAGAGAAATCTGCTGGGTTAGTTGTTCTGAGTGCGAGTTAAATTCAATCTTTTACACATCTGAAAGTTCACGAACATAAAGAGAAAAAGCGAAGCTAAAATAAGACATCATGTGATCATAATATCAGAAACGCTGACGTGGAGCAGAGAGAGCAGCACCTCCACATTCATCAGAGAGAGATGCGAACATGCAAACCATTACACAGACACGCACACGCACACACACACACACACACACACGCACACGCACACACACACACATACACACACACACAAGAGTTTCAGCAGAAACAGCAGAGCAAACTTTATGCTGAAGTCTAAAGATTCTGACAAAAAGAGGAAAAACTACACACACACACACACACACACACACACACACACACACACACACACACACACACACACACACACACACACACACACACACACACACACACACACCTGTCTCACAGGCTTCAGCTGTCAAGAGCTGCTGACAGTCACTTCTGGAAACACACCGTCTCATCTGAGTGTGTGTGTGTGTGTGTGTGTGAGTGTGAGTGTGGCTGAATTCTCCTATACCAGCATAATACAAACCCACTGATAGACACAAAAACTTATTAATATTACATGTTACACACACATTTTCTTTCTCCCCCCCTGTCTCTCTCTCTCTCTCTCACACACACACACACACACACGTTTTCCTCTACATGTACATACACTCTCTTCTTCAGACTCATACACACTTTTTTGCACACACCGACAAATTTACATACACTACCTTACAAACACACCCTCTCTTTCTCTCTCTCTCTCTCTCACACACACACACACACACACACACACACACACACACACACACACACACACACACACACACACACACGAACCTCCTCCACGCCTCGCTGTAGAAGCTGAATGTGCAGATAAGCTGCGTCTGCATTATTACTGATGTGTTTGAAGCTCTTTCCTCCACGTTTTGTCTTTGTGTCGCTCAGTGTGAGACTCACTGCTGTCCTGAAGACACACTTTAGGTGTGTGTTTCTGTGTGTGGCTGCAGTTTAGTCTCACAGATTAAAAACGACTTCATTATGTTCATTGCTGCACACATAACCGAAAACACAGTGCGTGTATCTCTGAGAGAGAGAGAGAGGCAGTGTGTGTGAGTTAGCCACTTTATTAGGTACACCTTACAATTACCGGGTCGGACCACTTTCACCTCCAGAACCGCCTTAGTCCTTGTTGTTGTAGATTCAACAAGCTACTGGAAATATTCCTCAGAGATTTTGCTCCATATTGTCATGACAGCATCACACAGTTGCTGCAGATTTGTCGGCTGCACATCCATGATGCCAATCTCCCGTTCCACCACATCCCAAAGCTGCTCTATTGGATTGAGCTCTGGTGACTGTGGAGGCCATTTGAGTACAGTGAACTCATCGTCATGTTCAGGAAACCAGTCTGAGATGATTGAGCTTTATGACATGCTGCGTTATCCTGCTGGAAGTAGCCATCAGAAGATGGAGACACTGTGCTCATAAAGGGATGGACATGGTCAGCAGCAATACTCAGGTAGGCTGTGGCGTTGATGCTCAATTGGTACTAATGGACCCAAAGAAAATCTCCCCCACACCATTACACCACCACCACCAGCCTGAACCGCTGATACAAGGCAGGATGATCCATGCTTTCATGTTGTCTGAGTCGAGCATCTGAATGTGTCAGCAGAAATGGAGACTCATCAGAGCAGCAACGTTTCTCCAATCTTCTATTGTCCAGTTTTGGTGAGTCTGTGTGAATTGTAGCCTCAGTTTCCTGTTCTTAGCTGACAGGAGCGGCACCCGGTGTGCTCTTCTGCTGCTGTAGCCCATCCGC